AAAATGGCTATCATCCAAAAACCAACAAACAATAAATGCTTCTGAGGAAGTGGAAGAAAAGGTACACTAATCCACTGTTGTTGAGAATGTAAACTAGTACAACCAAAATGGAAGACAGTATGGAGATTCTTCAGAAATCTGAAAATAGATCTACCATATGACCCAGCCATCTCAATGCTGGAAATGTGCTCAAAGGAAATGAAATCAGCATATGAAAGAGTTCTTTGTACCCCATGGTTATCGCAGCTCAATTCACAATAGCTAAGATATGCAATCAACCTATATGTCCACCAATTGATGACTGGATAAAGAAAATGTCATATTTATATATACATATACATGCATATACATATACACACACGTACACACATATACTACTCAGTCATAAAAATGAATGAAATCTTGTCTTTTGCAACAAATGGATACAAATGGAAACCATCATGCTTAGTGAAATAATCCAGCCCCCCCCAAAAAAAACAAACTACAAGCACCATATGTTTTCTTTGATATCTGTTTAATATGGAGTATAAAAAATGTAAAGGAATGAAATGGAGATTTTGTGATATAATTGTCATTTTTATCTCTTGTTTATATTCCTGGGGAAATGTAGTTTACTACTTTTTACTTATTGAATATTATGGTTAATGCTGAATTAAGCCTGTGAATATAGTGTGGATTAAAATTATGTCTTTGCTAAAACTGATGAAAGGAAGAGAGGGGAGGGAAGGAAGGGAATTGGGTAGGGAGAGGAGAAGGAGAGAAATGTGCTTGCCTTCTTGGAACTATATCTATGGAATGCATGAAATAATTTTCAAGAAGAAATCTACTGTCATCCTTTTTGTTCACTGTACAAAAAATACACCAAAATAAAAATGCAAAATATTTACCTTTTATATATTTAAATAAATAAAAAGTATATATATATATATAGATATATATATCTATATAAAATTAAGGAGTTAAACTTTCTAGATCTTCATTCCTTTGTCCAGATCCATATTTTTATCTGGTGTCATTTTCTTTTGTATTGAAAGATTTTTAAGCTGTTGTAAATGTAAGTCTGCTGGTAAAAATTTATTTTAACTTTTGATGTGACTGGGAAAAATCTTTACCTTTTTTTTTGAAAGAAGTTTCTTTCTGGGTGTAGGAATCTAAGAAAGTTTTTTTTTTATTTAGTTGAAAGATATCTCACTTCAAACATGAATGATGCTGCTCTACTGCAATTATAACTTGCATCATTTTAAAGAAGAAATCAGCTGTCATCCTTTTTGTTCTCTGCAAAACTTGGCTTTTTCTGTGGCTGGCTTTAAGATTTTTCTCTTTGTTGCTGTGGGTTTTAAGCACGTTGCTTGTGATACGTCATTGTGTGGTTTTCTTAATATCACTTGAGCTTCAAATTGTTGTCTTGAGTTTAGTTTTCATCAAACGAATTAAATATTCATTGTTTTTCTCAAACTTGTTTCTGTCATTCACTTCTCACAGCTCACTAATACAGGGTTTGTCCTTAATATTTTGCTTCCGTTTTCTCAGTTTCATTTTGGATAGTTTCTATTGCTATTCTTCAAATTTATTCATCTTTACTTCTGAAAAGTCTAATCTGCCATTAATTTTATCCAATGTACTTTCCATCTCAAAAACTGAAGTTTCATCTCTAGATGTTTGATTTGAAACTTTTTCATATCACGTCCTGACTTTTTGAACATATGGTTCATAGTGACAATAATTGTTTTAATACTCTTGACTACTAATTCTAATATCTGTGTTCTGGGTCACTTTTAATTGTTTTCTTTCATTATAGTTCATATTTTTCTGACTTTACATGCCTGATAATTTTTGATTGTACAATGGAGATTATGTTTTTTTTTTTTTAATTTTTTTGACAGGTAGAGTTATAGACAGTGAAAGAGAGAGAGAGAGACAGAGAGAAAGGTCTTCCTTCCGTTGGTTCACACCCCAGATGGCTGCTATGGCGCTGCGCCAATCCAAAGCCAGGAGCCAGGTGCTTCTTCCTGGTCTCCCATGCGGGTGCAGGAGCCCAAACACTTGGGCCATCCTCCACTGCCTTCCTGGGCCACAGCAGAGAGCTGGACTGGAAGAGAAGCAACCAGAACTAGAACCAGGCCCCCTTATGGGATGCCGGCGCCGCAGGCAGAGATTAACCAAGTGAGCCATGGCGCTGGCCCCAAGATTATGTTTTTATTTTGCTGGGTGTTGGATATTTTCATATTCTTCTAGGTACACTTGAACTTTGTTCAAGGATGAAATTAGTTATTTGGAAACTGATCTTTTCTCCTCAAGTGTCCCAAGATTTGTTAAGTACAGCCTTAGAAGGTATAATTTAGCGTTTACCACTACTAAGTCAACATATCTATGAATATTTTCTCCCATGCTGTACTAATAATTAAGAAAACTTCCAGGACAGTTAGTTGATGGCAACCAATCATATTCCTGATCCTGTCTGAATATTATACACTGCTCCTTGTAATCCAGGCATTCTTAGTAAGGTTAATATTACCACAAAGGGACCAAAATTAGTTCTTAGGGAAAGAAAGAAAATTTACTCTTTGTGCATAAGGTATAGATACTTTAATAGTACTACAAATATATGCAGTGTTATCTGTACTATTAAAATTTCATAGGGAGATCCAGCATTGTGGCACAGTAAGCTACCTGCAATACCAGCGTCCAGCATCAGAGTGCTTGTTTATGTCCCGGCTGCTCCACTTCCTATCCAGCTTCCTGATAATGTGCTTGGGAAAGCTACGGAGGATAGCTCACATGCTTGAGCACCTGCCACCCACGTGGAAGAACTGGATGGAGCTCTGGGCCCCTGGCTTCTGCGTAGACCAATGCTTGCAGCCATTTGAGAGTGAGCCAACAGGGGGAGGATCATCTCTCTCTCTTTCGTTTTCTCCCTTTCTTCTCTCCCCTTTAAATAAATAAATAAATCTTTAACAATAATTTCATGGAGAGGTGATTAGGAATGAAACTGTCTAAAGAGGCTTTTTGTGGAGATCAGTAACTTTTTTAAAAAAAGGTTTATAAGTGTTATTCTAAATATTTTGAGTTGTTCTTCCTTTTGCCTTGGTAGTTTCCTTACACTTGTGTTGGCAGGACTATGCTACATACTCAGGGTAATCTACAGAGCACTGGAGTTGGCTCCATGTGCAGCTCTTTCCTCTCTGGTACTCTTATCTTATCAGTCATCTTGGTGTGCCTGAACCTTCAGCATCATTGACTCAACTTTCACATCTGTTAGATTTCCCCTAAGTAGTTCCATTCTTACATTGTTGTTTAGAAATTTTCTCAAGTTACAGCCTGAAACAATCATAAGCTTTCAAGATCACTTCCTAGGACAAACGTCCAGTTCTAAAAACTATTGTTTCATAAATTTTGTCTTGTTTTTGGCTAATTTTATATGAGACAGTGAATCTATTCTCTAGCACTCCCTCTTGGCCCGTAAAGGAAGCACGTATACCAGGGCACTTTACAATGTTTGTGGAAAAAGTAAAAAATAAGCTTATTTTGCTGAAAAAAAAAAAGTCATGAATCCAGAATGTTTTAAGTTTGTGAGAAATGCATATTTTCAAAAAACTATGCATGGCTTACAAAACTTTTTGCATCAAAGTAAACTTATACTGCTTTTTTAAATTTTATTTATTTGAAAGACAGAATTACAGAGAGAGGTAGAGACAGAAGAGAGAGGTCTTCCATCCGCTAGTTCACTCCCCAGATGGCTGCAACAGCGGGAGCTGCACTGATCTGAAGCCAGGAGCCAGGAGCTTCTTCTGGGTCTCCCACGCAGGTGCAGGGGCCCAAGGACTTGGACCATTTTTCATTGCTATCCCAGGCCACAGCAGAGAGCTGGATCAGGAGAGGAGCAGCTGGGACCAGAACCGTGCCCATATGGGATGCTGGTGCTTCAGGCCAGGGCTTTAACCTGCTGTGCCACAGCGCACGCCCCAAACTTACACTTCTTTAAAAAAAATATTTACTTATTTAATCTGAAAGTTAGAGTTACAGAGAGGGAGAGGCAGAGGCAGAGAGAGACAGAGAGATCTTCCATCCAGTGGTCCACTCCCTGAATGGCCGCAATGGCAGGGCTGGACTAGGTTGAAGCCAGGAGCCAGAAGCCTCATCTGGGTCTTCTATGTGGTGCAAGGGCCCCAAGGGCTCGGGCCATCTTCTGTTGCTTTTCCAGGCACATTAGCAGGGAGCTGGATCAGAAGTGGAGCAGCCAGGACTCAAAGCGGCTCCCATATAGGATGCCGGCATTGCAGGCAGTGGCTTTACCTGCTACACCACAGTGCTGATCCTAATAAACTTGTCTCTTAATTCTACCTTTCCATGAACTTTTTGAGGTATCCCCATAAACAGTGATGAAATAAGAAGCAAAAGTATAGTTTCAAGTCATAATTAATTTATAGGCAATAGATTAGGTTATCAAAGGTTTGTAAAAACAAATACTGCAGGAAATAGTTCCTCAGCATATTTCTCAGCAATATGATGAATGCCTAATGAATCTTGGTTGTGGCCCTAGAAAGAGCACTTTTAACCTTCTTAAACATCCACACATGTACTCAAGCACACCAAGTTAGGATGGACTAGTAGCTGTTTTCAGACACATCAGCAACAAACTTAGCTTGAGCTGCATCCTTTAGAAGAGATGTAAAGGGGAAAGGCTGGGCTGTAAGATATTTAATGTCTTCAACGATAGAAAAACTCGATGATTCTTGGAATAACATTTTTTTAAAATAAAAAAGGGGTTTTCTGCACACTTAAAGGCTAAAAACAGCATTTATGAACATTTTCCTAATGTCCAAAGTCGGCTAATGAAGCACTAGGTTAAATAACTAATCATATTTCAATTTAAAATGCATTCATTTCATTCTTCTCCAATGTCAAGAATATTTTAAGAATCCATTTTTGTCACACATTATGGATTCAGAATAACATAAGAAAACAAGATATTTATCTTCTAGATCTATATTTTATTAAAGAAAAAATCCATTGGAATAAATTTTCCATTTATTAGGCTTTGAAAATATACACGAAAAAAGGTTCACAATTATTGGTCAGTGTAAAATGTTCTTATTCTCTGCTAATTAATAAACATATGGGACAGAATAGGTCATGTATATTAACTACTATCAAAATAGGTTAAGAGTATGCTTTAAATGATGACTCTTAGGAAATGACAGCTACAGTGATTTCCTAAGATGAATTTGGGTCATAATTTCAAGTTTATACCCATTCACCAATGTTAACCATTTTACTAAGACAAGCATTGTTATATTAACCAGTCTATTTTTAAAAATATAATTTTGACGCTTTTAATAATCAAAAACTTAAGTCACTTATTATGAAGAATAATGCATTTTTTTAAATTGAAAAATAGGTTTTGGGGAAACCACTATACTTTTATATCACATCACATAAGGGTGCTACATGTATGTAGCAACTACATACATGTAGACATTCATAAAATGTACTATATCTTTGTTGAATCCTTCCGCACCCTGCAGTTATAAAATTAAAGTAAACTTAAGACAAAGATTATCTATACTCAGTCTTTAAAAAAAAACACAAGAAAGTGAAAATTCGATCATGTAATAGTAATGATGAATCTGAGTTTCTAACTTGTTTTGATCACAGAAGGGTGCTACATGCAAGTAGCATCTTTGTATCTGAAAAATGTTGTTATTCAATTCTCTCTGATAACAAAAATGTACATAATTCAGATTTTAGAAAATGGATAAATGGTTTCTCTCTGACAAAAGTTCAAATATACACATTCACAATATTTTTACTTCTAGCAAACTATGTGACCTAATTAGTCCTTGGCAAACAGTTGGTGTCTGTGATATCAGTGTAGCATTACTGCTTTATATATAATCAGTTTGAATCCAAATGGCAGTTCCATGCAATTATCACATAAATATTGCCTCAGTGTTAATTCTGCAACTGTCCATATAAATTCTGATTCTCCACTATCTGAGTGTGTGTGTGTCTGTGTATAAACCCTAATGAGACATGTTGCAGTTAATAGCATATATTCAATTTTGGGTAATCTATGAGAAGTTAGACCCATGATCCTTAGAATGGCAGATTTGATATAGATTATGGAAAAGTTGTCTTTCCTAAGAGACAGCAGCCTTCAGTTTATATTCAAAAGCAATTAGTTGAGAAGATAATACACAATGCTATTTCTGCCTAGAGCATTTAAATTCAGAAAAGGAATTGGAGCTCCTCAGCTTAATAAATTGGAAGATGTTCTGTAAAATACTGTCACAGGAAATCCAAGGCAAATTAGTAACAACCGTTAGAAAGAAGAGAGATACGTAATAGTATCTGAATAGTCTTTCAATGTTTTGGGGAAATAAGTTTAGATTATGTTTTATGCAGGCATTATTGACACAAATAAAGGATAATACTTCCAGTGTAAGAAGCAATGTTTACATCTAATTACAAATTTAGTTAAAAACATAATCACAATTTACAAAAACCATAATTACAAATTACAAAGAAAAACAGGCAAACTGTCAATGACATCCTCTATGCATCTTGTTACCTATCAATTTTGTTTCATGATAAAATTCAATACTAAAATTTCAGAGTTAACCTTCAATATTAATTTCAACATCAATATTTATCAAAACATTTTAAAACAGGCAATTAGAAAAAGCATCACACCAAAAGTAATAATAATATTCCCAGGCCGCTACAGCATTGTATGATTATCCGACAGGGAAAGCAAATAGGCTGTTGATTTTTGGCAGGTCACTTGGCTCTGGATTTTAGGACTACAGCAATACCAGTGAGGGTGATGGAAGAAGTATTTCCTATTTTACCAATGTCACCAGAGCACCAATAAGAGAGTCTCAGATAAGTTTCCAAATATCGAAAAACAGTAGAGTTAACTTAATCTTTTATATCTGAACAAAAAGTTCTGGCATAATTTTTAAGAAAGTAGGACCACAGCCATTTTCTTATATAAACCTGATAGTTATCACACAAATTCAACCTCAGATTTGGAAGACTGCATTCAAACAGACTGATGACCACCCCTACCCCTAATTCACTCTGAAGCTGCATATCATCCACAGCTTCACAGCACTGCACCACATGTGGGTACCATTGTGGCAAAAGCAGGACAGTCTATCCTAGGGACAGATTAGGTCCCAGCTGCTCCTAAGAAGACACACCGTTTTCCACTGTGTTTGCACATCAGCTCATTTTTCAAAGCAATCCTAGCACTCTTCATTTTTTGAGATTTCAGACTCATTTTCTTTGTGCAAGTTCCTTTGCTGATAAATGTGTAAAGCCATGGCAGTGATGCAGAGCAAGGTAAATATCACAACGGCAATCACACCTATGCAAGAAGAAAAAGGAAAAACAATGTAAATGGAGTTTCGCTTCAACCATAGGCTTGTTGTCATTGCTTAATAAAGTTAGGTTACAATAAACCAAATCATCTACTAGATAGACTGGAAACATCCAAGCAGGAATTTTTAAGGCCAGGTGCCTTATAACATTTGCTATACTTCTGAGTTACTACAGCATTTGGATATGGCTGTATTAGGCTTGTTCCCTAAAGGCATGTCATGATGGACTCAGGGAATGGCTTCATATTTAAAAGCACAAAGAAAAATACATCTCTAAGATCATGTCCATCATTCAGTTATCAGGTGTGGGGAGCAACTGTGAGCAACTCGGACTAGACTAAGTTACTGGAATTAAGACTTATTCTATGCATCTGCTTTCCCACAATATGGCGCTGAGAAGGGAAACAGCTTCTACACAGCTGCCTCCAGTTCAACCAATAAACTGTGGGACCTGCTCCTGATTGGAGGAGAGCAGCGTACTCGGCGTGTGGGTAGCAGAGTTGGGATTGGTGGAAGAGGACTATAAAGGAGGAGAGAGACGGCATGCACCAGGAACATCTAAGAGGAACATCTAAGGGGAACACCTGTGCAGCCCCCAGAGAGCCGGCCGGCGGTGTGCCGCTCCCCTGCGGAAGTGGGGAATGTGGCCAGGGGGAACTGCCCTTCCACGGAGGTGGAAGGGATAGTAGCCAACCCGGGAAGAACCAGCAGCAAACCCGGGGAGGGCCGAGCAGACAAAAGAACAGCGCAGGGTCCTGTGTCGTTCCTCCACGAAGAGGGGGAGCGACATAATGGTGCCGTGACTCGGATAGGAAACCTAGGCAGGGTTTAGTGTCGTTCCTCCACGAAGAGGGGGAGCGACATAATGGGGCCGTGACTCGGATAGGAAACCTAGGACGGATAGGAAACTTAGGAGGGAAGAAACAGGAAGAAGTGGAAAAATATCGGAGAGAGAGACTAGCAAACAGCCTAGGGAAAAGCCGGACGAAAAAGGTGCCGGAAGAAGCTATTGAAAGCCTAGGCATAGACTCAGATACGGACTACGGGGGGAAGCTGGGAGAAATCTCTAAGGTCGAAAGCGAAAGTGAAAGCTAGAACAAACAGACTCGGATACGGACTGTGGGGAGAAGCTGGGAGAAATGAGGGAGGAATATTGTTGGAAGAAAACTTAGTGAAATATACCGGGTAGAGAAAAATGTTAGGGAGGATGAAGCTGCGAGGGCAGGCCGAGGCGGAGACGGAAGCCATCTTGGAATTCTTCAAGTCAGCCCGGGGAGCAAGAGGCAAAGATCTGGAACCAGAGGCAGAGACGTGGGCCGCCAGGTTGGAATTCGCCAGGTTAGTCCGGGAAACTTGGATTGAATGCTAGTGGCGGAGACGTAAGCTACGCTGTGTGACTCGCGGAGGCTGCCGCGCGCAGAGAGAGCGTGCGGGGCACAAGTAGATAGGGAACCCGGGGCTAGTACGAGGCCGCGCAGATGAGAGAGGTGCGGGCTGAAGCGGCTCAGAGCCAGGAAGCCGCCGAGAAGCAGCCTCGGGGCGGGCGCCGGGAAGCCGCAGGGATAAGAGAAACAGAAGTTTAGAAGTAAAATGACAGAAATAGGAATGCTGGTAGATAGAAGTAAAATGGGAGAAATAGGAATGCCCGGAGATAGAGAAATAGAGAAATAGAAAGGCCTCCCTACAACACTGCAATGTGAGAGCTTGGATTCGGTCTGCCTGATTAAGTGAGGCGATGAGCACCTGCAGGCGGCTAGCAGCTTATGCGCCGCAGGTCACCGAAGACAGGCACGAATTAACATCAGTAAGGTCTCCCCCACAATACGGCAATGAGAAGGCTTGCCTGATTGTTAGGGCTTGTAAGCCCCTGCAGGCTGAGCAGAGCATGCGCTGCAGGGCACCGAACACAGGCACGTATCAACGCCTAAAAACCTCCTCACAACATGGCGAAGAGAGGACCCGGATTCGGTTTGCCTGATTGATAGGACTTGTAAGAACCTGTGGCAACTCTAGCAAGTAGAGCAGAGGGTGTGCCGCGGGACACCGAAGACAGGCGCGTATCAACGCCAAAAAATAAAAAGAAAGGGGGATCTGTGGGGAGCAACTGTGAGCAACTCGGACTAGACTAAGTTACTGGAATTAAGACTTATTCTATGCATCTGCTTTCCCACAATATGGCGCTGAGAAGGGAAACAGCTTCTACACAGCTGCCTCCAGTTCAACCAATAAACTGTGGGACCTGCTCCTGATTGGAGGAGAGCAGCGTACTCGGCGTGTGGGTAGCAGAGTTGGGATTGGTGGAAGAGGACTATAAAGGAGGAGAGAGACGGCATGCACCAGGAACATCTAAGAGGAACATCTAAGGGGAACACCTGTGCAGCCCCCAGAGAGCCGGCCGGCGGTGTGCCGCTCCCCTGCGGAAGTGGGGAATGTGGCCAGGGGGAACTGCCCTTCCACGGAGGTGGAAGGGATAGTAGCCAACCCGGGAAGAACCAGCAGCAAACCCGGGGAGGGCCGAGCAGACAAAAGAACAGCGCAGGGTCCTGTGTCGTTCCTCCACGAAGAGGGGGAGCGACAATCAGGCAGGAAGCTTTAAATTATTTAAAAAGTATGCAGTGTTTTGTACCATCATAGAATAACTGTTGTTATACATTTTAAATGCAGATTTAAGAATACTTTTATGACAATATGTTTTTGAAGTACAGTAGCGTAGCATACACATAATCAGTTCCCATTATCAAGACTATTGCAGGGATATTTATTAAATTTACATGTAATGCAGATTACTTGTAAATGTTATAAAATATTGATACTATTAGCCATGCCCGTGGTTCTCAATCCTAGCTCCAAATGAGGTTAAAGGAGTTAAAGGTCTGGGCCTCTATCTCATAAATTGTTTGAGTCTTTAATTCATAGCCAGGAAGCCATTTAATGAATGCATGAAGTCGTACTCGAGAAAGCTGCTGATTCAAGCAATCCTATTAGTGTAGATGAACATCAAGTCTATGTTAAACTAGATGAGTCGGTGTAAAAATAGGTTATAGGTACCCAAATTACAAGTGTAAGATAATTCACTAAGGCATTAATTTGTATCTCCAGCTGGTGACTATTAGAAAATGCAAACCCCCTTTGTGAAATACCAGCCAGGGGAAGCCACCCAGCCCCTCCTCCTTCCCATTGCTTCCTTCAGGAGCCAAGTCAACACTTCTTAGGGGAACAGAATCCTGCTAAGACTCACAGTTCAACAGCAACATGTCTCTACATTGACCCCAGATATCTCGCCAGTTATAGCTGACCAAAAGCAATAAAATTCCAAAAGCAAGACGTGCTCTGCTGTTCTATGATCAATCTGCCCATTATCCTCGCTCACCAAAGGCCTGGCTCTAACTCTGACACTGTGTAGACATTTGTGGGCAATGGGAACCTACCCTGAAAATGTTAAGCATTTCACAATTGCTTTTGCATTGCAAAGAAAAATCTCCTAAAATATCAGGAATCATTTATGATTGGATTTGATGTAAAATTAATGACAAAAGTACCCCTTTAGGATGTGCATTATTCTCCAATTCCCACAGAAAACTGTAAAAATAGTTTTTTTTTCCATTGGGTCATGTATTTTTAATTTACTTTTTTTTTTATTTCTGAGAGAAAAAAGTTTGAGATAGTGAGGTACATGCTAATATCCTCAAGAGAAATTTAGTGAGGGCTTTTATAATATCTGAATTGTTTCCTATCATTTTTGGGGGAAAAAAGTTTATTTTGTATGTTCTATGGAAAGTCTGCCAAACAAGAAATCAAAAACATTTCAAAAATGAATTAATTAAGGAGGAAAGATGCTTACTTTTGCAGCAGTTCTTAATAAATTATATTTCAGAATGAAAGTTTTCTTTGCCAAGATGTATTTAAATTAATTTTATTTTCTTCCTCTCAAAAGACCAATAAACAATCTCAGCCTATTAGATGAATTTTTCCTAAAGCAAGATTAAAAATGAAACACACAGTGACTAGTGAACTTACTCTATGTCACTGAACCATACTATTAAAAATTAACACGTTAAGTATTATTATGTGCATTTAAATCTTTTTTAATAAGGCGAACATTGTCAAGGGAAGCATTGAAGGCAGTGGGGAAACTTTTCCGTGTCAAGGGCCATCTGGGTATTTATAACATTCGCAGGCCATACAAAATGATCAACTTAAAAATGCGCCTGCTATAGACTTAACTGATTTTCCAGTCCTGCCTGCAGCTGCGGTGGCATAATCAGACCAAATGACTTCCCTCCCTATCCTGAACCATAAACCCTGACCCATAAACCATAACCCATTATGCTGATTAATTCAACATTGTCAAGAGGGGTAACGCGGAAGGCAGGTCATTCACAGCTGCCTTACCTCCGACGACGAAGACCGCAGGGTCCCTCCCGTCTGCAGTAACTAAGGGCGCCCCCTTGCCAGCGGGTCCAGGACGGCCTGCAGAGAGGGGCACAAAGGGGAATAGAACGGGGAAATTCACACAGAGAGATGGAAGGGCAGCAGTGAACCCGTTGGAGCGGGCAAGGACCGGAAGGGACCGAGGACTCCGCTTTGAAACACGGGCCACGGCCAGGGTGGGACGCCGGCGGAGCGAGCACGCACCTGCGTCCCCGGCCAGCCGGGGAGTCAGTTCCCGCGCCGAGGAGCCAGGTCCCGCCGGCGCCGCACAGCCGGACGCCGCGGCTACTGGGCCGCGCACGGAGACCGGGGCGCGGCCGCCGGGTCGCAGCGCTGCCTTGAGGGGCGCGGCGCGGCCGAAGCGCACGGCCGAGAGGCAGCCGGTGAAGCCGCGCGCCGCCGCCCGCCTGGTGTCCGCGTCGGCGCCGGGGGTCTCTGCGGGAGATAGAAGCGGCACCCGGCGTCAGGGCGCAGGGGCCCAGGTCGGCGACATGGGGACGCCCGCCATTTGTTCGGCGGCGGCCAGCTTCAGCCTTCCTCAGAACCCCTTAGGTTCTGGGGAAAGCGCCAGAGCCACTACCTGTGGGCAGCCCTGTCAACTGCTCAGATGAGGCAGGGTTTTGGCTGATGGCTTCAAATGCCCACACCAGAATCTCCCAGGAAAACAGTTGTGTGGGATGAACTAAGAAATCCTCTGCCATTTAATAAAAAAAAAAATCATTAAAATACATTTTCAATGGAACACACAGCCACTAATCTAGGGGGTTACAGTAAAATAATTTCTGGAGACCAGGACAGACCTTTGGAAATCCTTTGTTGTTGTGTTTGCTTATTACATTCGACTGTTTTGTCTGAAGTATACAGATTTATCACTTTCATATTGTCTTAGTATTTTTATCACCAGTTAATGACCTTCTTGTTCAGCTGTTATAATCTTAAATTCTAATTGATAACATTGCATTTCTTAGATTTATTAGTTTTTACTTGCAAGTTCTTAGCACATCTCTTTTTCAATAGTGTAAGTGCATTTAAACGTTTTTTTTTTTTAAAGTTGGTGTGACACAATTTAGTCTATTCACATTTAGAGTAAAAATCACTATACTTAGTATTATTCTTGTTCAACTTTTCTAGCAGTCTCAAAAGCCTTCTTTTATACCTTTATAAAGACAGTGCACTTTTCCAAAATGACCATTGCCCATCTCTTCTCCCACTCATGTCAGTCAGATGAACCATGCCTGGAACTCCGCACTCCCCCATACAGCATCCCCCAGTATTCTCTCCTCCTCACCTCCACCTGCACAACAGTGCCTCCTTTCTTGGGTTTTACTCCAATACATTTAGCTCCTAATCAGAATTAGAATATCACTTAAATTTACATATATTTTTCTTTTATAGTTCCTTCAAGAATCTTCATTTTTTTCCCAAGAAAGAATTGAACGCTATTCCCTCTGACTAAACTCCATTCAGGCTTACTCTGAGCTCTCTGCTCAAGTTTCCCAGAGGTTTTGATCTTTCAACTCCTGGATTTGGAAATAATCATGGCAAGTCAGGTTTGGTCAGAATTTTTCACCCTCAATACCTGGTCACCACAACATCTATCATCCTCTCCATTTCGCACTATTCCCCACATGCAGGATGTTTGATCAGCTTGATTGGTCTTCATTAAAAATTCTGTTGCCCAAACAACTTCCTATTTTGCATTAACTAATCATCTGTCCCTACACCTGCTTGGCTGTAAACCTCCACCCACTTTTGTACTTGAAATTTTCAATCTCTCATCCCTACTGCTGAAGCCATAGCATAGTTCCTATATCTTTCATGAAAGCCCTAATATGTCAGCCTCCAGTTTTAACAAGTGTTAGAAATTTTTTTTTCCCTTTGGCATGATACAACGTGGTTTTACATTGAATAACTATTTTAGAGAAAAGCCATATAACTTTAGGGCAGATTTTCTCCTAAAAATGCTGAATACAATTAACATTAAGCAGTCATTTTTAGAAAGATTTGTTCATTTGACAGGCAGAATGACAGAGAGGAGGAGACAGAGAAAGAGATCTTCCATCAGGCTGGTTCACTCCCAAATGTCTACAGCAGCTAGGGCTGAGACAGGTTGAAGGCAGGAGCCAGGAACTCCATCCAGGTCTCCCATGTGGGTGGCAGGGGTGCAAGCATTTGGGCTATCTTCCACTGCCATCCCAGGCACATTAGGGAGCTGGATCAGAAATGGAGTAGCTGGGACAGGCACAAAATCACAGGACAGAATCACAGGCAGCAGCTTAACCTGATGTACCATAATGTTGAACCCCTAAACAATCATTTAGTTTGAAGTTAATAGAATGAAATAGAGTAGAACTTTCCTTCATTCTCAATAGATGATTTAATTAGAAAGATTATCATCAAATATGAAATTAGGTATGTTTTAAGAATTTTGTGTTTCAATTTAAAAAATAAATCCATGAGTAGGCATTTCATGCAGCAGGTAAGTTGCCACCTGGGATGCCCACAATCCATATCAAAATGCCTGTCCGGCTGCTACACTTTCAATTCCAGCTTCCTGCTAATGTGAACCCTGAGAGGCAGCACCTGATGGCTCAAATACTTGGGTCCCTGCCGTCCTTATCGGAGACCAGGATTGAGTTCTGGGTTCTGGCTTCAGCCTAGCCCAGCCTTGGCTGTTGTGAGTGTTTAAGGAGTGAACCAGCAATATATCTCTGCCTGTCTCTGTCTCTCCTTGCAACTAAAATGAAAAGAATAATAATAATAATAATAATAAAGAAATAAAGAAACATAAGACAGTACACAGGTCATTTCTCAAGGTTTTATTTTCGGCAAGCAAACTTGAGGAATGAAGTCATATCTCCAACCAGGACAAAGAATAAGCTTACTTACTGTTTGCTAAAACTTCTGTGGTTTCCTCAAGCTAGTGTTTCAGAACATTCAGTTGGGCCACCTATCATTGTCCCCATAAGACTTGAGGACAAATGGGAAACTGCACAAATGGCTGATGCTCATGAGGCTTTCTGTGCCATGAGTACTAGAGTCCTTTGTCTATGTTCCAGGAGTCTTTTGTCATCTGCCAGGATCCATAAATCAATTATATGCTTATTTATTATTTTGTTGGTAAATTAGGTAAAATCAAATTCTAGACCTAATATATAACATCACTTCTTTAAAAAAAAGTTTTAATTATTTTAAAGTCAGGGTAAAAAAGAGGGAGAGACAGAGAGATCTTCCATCTGCTAGTTTACCCCATACATGTCTGCAACAGCCATCCATGGGCCAGAACAAAGTTAGAAGGCAGGAACTCCATCCAGGTCTCCACGTGGGTGGCAGGGACCCAAATATCTGGGCCATCACACACTGCCTTCCAAGCATGTTAGCAGAAAGCTGGGTTAGAAGAGGAGTATCCAGGACTTGAATTGGTACTCTGCTTTGGAATGTGGGTGTCCCAAGCAGTGGCTTAACATGTTGCACTGCAATGCCTACCCACTTACATCCCTTCTAAGTGAGACAAATACACTGTATTGTAAAATACTATGCCAACTGAGTTTTAAATGCTAAACGTGTATGTTTTATGTATCTCCTTAGACAGAACTCATTAGATAATTTTCAGAAGTATTTAATTACTATAACTACTTTGCATGTTCATATATTTTTATCTCTATTTTGAAATATAACCCTTCTACCCAGATATATACTTTCTGACATTTATAATAATAATCACACTGATATGTAACTATTTACAGGCTATTGTTTTATTTTATGGGAGAAAACTTAAAAAGACATCTTCTGCTTTTACACTTTTTCTTTGGTTTCAATATATGTTTTGGTTTTTGTTTTAAAATTTTAGTTAGTGATTTAAAAAATAACAAAATCTGTAATCAAGAATATCAACAATACCAAAATAGTTGGAGAAACAACATGTAACAGAAATGACAGGTCATCTCTAAGGGATTACAGTATTTTAAGTGCTCACCTTCTTTAGGACTGTATTTCTGATAAGCTACATAGGAAATTCAAGATCTAAAGAGTTTATATTTAAACAGCTTTAATCTGAGTTTATCTTGACATAATCAACCTGAATCATCTTCATTAGTGAAACTACTCAGAAATGGTAAGATAATAACACCATGCTAATTATGAATTCTGGGTCATTGTTTTCAAAAGCAAGTAAAGGTAGACAAAGTTTTTTATTGAGTATGAGCATTATTTTTTATAATTGTTCACATTTAGCCTATGATCCCTATTAATATGTGAGTTGGGAAAGGGTAGGTCTTGTGTTGCTCTTGTTCGTAGGCTTTCTCAGTGCCTTATAAAGTGTACTCAGTAGATGTTCATGAAATATTTTTGAAGGAATGGATGAATCAGTGACTTACAGGGACTTATTAAACTTAAAAAGTAATAACTTGCTGTAGAGTCCTTCGGGTAACTCTTTGGAAAATCAGTGGCTTATCTATTAGTTAACTTGAAGGTCTATTTTACTGCAGCCTAAAGTAATAAAGTACTTTGTATCAAACTCCAAATTATCTGGAATTATAGTCTTGTGATTAATGATCTGAAAATAACAAGACTTAAGCAGAACATATTCTGAAATATGATCATCCAAAATATGAAGCATTTTATTAATCTTTAATTATTATCTCCACCTCCAGACACAGGCAAAATGAATATTCATAATTTTCTGTTGATCAGATGCTTCAGATTATATACTTCATTGACCAATTTGAATTTGAAATTGTATGCCCTAAATTGCATGCCTTTTTAATATATCTTTCTTGAATAAAGCCTTTAACATCTTCAACTCGATATAATTATTTATCTGGAGAAAAACAAATTTTTATAATAAGTGGTGATTCTTTCTAATCCTCTTCATATTTCATAGAAGATAGTTCATTTTCTTAATTGATTGACATAGGAGTTATATTTCTTACAGAACGATTATTTTCCTAAGTTACTATATTATTTAAAGCTAAATTGCACTTTTAAAAATATTTCCTGTGAATATCATAGACAGTTACTGCACCTTTTTAACTTGTCATAAATATTTAAGTACATGCATCATCTTTCCTGTTAGATACTAGAGTCATGAAGGAAAGAAAAAAACAACCAAAGCAAGACTCAAAAGAGTTCCAGTTGTATTCATCTGCTGGGAGAAATTAAACAATTCTTTCTCTTGCCTTTAACTCAAACCCAGTTTTATCACTGCATGGAGGTCTCTGGAGTTGATGCTGAAACATGTCTGCTTTGATAACATGTCATTTTTAAGAATTGTCAGACAAATGCCATAATTCAATATGCATGATTGCCAAGTGAGAAGGTAAGTGTGGAAGTACTTTTGGAGGTATGCCCTTGCTCATCTAGCAGGTAGCACTTACTCATGATTAGATGGGCACGCAGCCAGGAGTACAATTTGTACCTTGATTGTCACTCACTGTGAAAGTATTATTCAAATAAGACAAGAAATTCTTTCATCATAATGAATGCTTCCAGAGTTTGTGACATGACACTCTCAATCTGATGTTTTGTGGAGGAAACACTTTCTTCTACTTACCTAAAACCTTTCCCAGTGCGAGGGATTTGACAGCATTGAATTCTGTCCCCGAGGCCAATATAACTTGTCTCTTTACACTCTGATTAACCTGTTAAATGTCGCAAGGGAAACAAATAACAAAAATAAATTCATTTTTAATGAAAAGGAGGCAAAGAGAACACAGGGAAAAATAGTAAAAATAAATCATTTGCAAGTGCTACCACAAGGTTAAAGAAATCACTTGTAAACAATGATTTAGAAGGGGAAAGCAATTTTATAAACAACATATATAATGCCATCAGCTGCTGCTCCCACCCACTGCCCACTCTCTAATCCTGCTTTCTCTTCTTCACCATGTTAAGTATCTGCAATTGGCAGAAACTACAGAAAGGTGGAATCAGCTGTTTTACATTTAAAAACTTATTCTCTGGAGAAAACTGAAAGCATATAGTCAAGAAATGTAGTTCTATGTGCAGATCTAAAGTATATTTTGCGGCCAGCGCCGCGGCTCACTAGGCTAATCCTCTGCCTTGCGGTGCCGGCACCCCAGGGTTCTAGTCCCCTTCGGGGCGCCGGATTCTGTCCAGGTTGCCCCTCTTCCAGGCCAGCTCTCTGCTGTGGCCCGGGAGTGCAGTGGAGGATGGCCCAAGTGCTTGGGCCCTGCACCTCATGGGAGACCAGGAGAAGCACCTGGCTCTTGCCTTCGGATCAGCGCAATGCGCTGGCCGCAGCGCGCCAGCCGTGGTGGCCACTGGAGGGTGAACCAATGGCAAAGGAAGACCTTTCTCTCTGTCTCTCTCTCTCACTGTCCACTCTGCCTGTCAAAATAAATAAATAAAGTATATTTTGCTTCAAATACCGGTGACAATTTACTTACTCTGCTCTGACCCAGGTCTATTTTCTTATTTATTCCCACCTTAATGAATATCCTGTACACCTTTTTCTCCCTTGTTTAAATTGTTGCAGTACCTGTTCTTTTATAATTAGATGAGGACAGGTTCTCATTGAAATATCAGTTCACAAATTCCACCACAGTCACCATGATAAGCTAGACAACATTTCCCTACTAAGAAAACAAGTAAGCATATATTGACATTTTAAAGGAACAAATAATTATAACTTTGACAGAACCACATTGCTAAACAAACAAAACATTTCCCCTTCTCCAAACCTGGGCTATATTTGACTTCCTATCCCGACCTATGGCAGGAAAACACTGAGTGCGTTGCTTTTATTAATATTTATTGTCAAATTTTTACATTAGCATATTCATTCTCAGAGTCATAATATCAGTTACCATTGCTTTTGACTTTGCTGCATTACCTCTACAGCAACCACTGCTTCTTCTCTTTTAATCTTCAGCTGGTGAAAGTGCCCATCAGCCAAGTTTGTAAAATCAAAGTTAAACACATCGGAATCTTGGTGACTGTCTAGCTTGTACCTGATCTGTAAACTTCCTAAAGAGAAAAGTAAATGGTCTTTTAAATTAGCACAGTTATTTAAAAAAAAAACTATCATGCATAATCTAGAGTACTTTTAATATCTAATACATATTTGAATCTATTTAGCATAGATTAGGATTACCCAATAGTTATATTTCTTGGAATTGTAATTACTTAAGTGCTATCCCAGTGCCAAACTCCAAGTCCAAATACACTATTTAAAGTCAAGACCACATATGCTGATAATAAGCAATTTCCCAAATCTTTCTTATGTAAAGTTTTAATTATTCATATGAAAGTTCTAAACTCATATTTAAATTATGACTATGATATTGACTTTATGAATTGATGTAGCTCCATGTGATATTGTATCAACATTCAGTTTTCATAATTATAGCTTCTTTAATAATGCTTATTTTAATGTGCAAGTATTATTGAAGGGTATACAGTTAAAAACTTTTAACAATCAGAATTTTTCTTCTGAAATCTTTTGCCCTAATCAAAAAACAGGGAAGAAAATTTTGTCAGGAGACAGTTTCTACAGTTGGTACATCTTCCAACATACATATTGCTCTCCTATAAAGATATAGTCTCATAGCCCATAATTCTGTTGCAGCTCATCCAGTTAGAGGTTTTGTAGGCTTTTCTAGAAATCGAAATTTTGTCCTGAATCATTACTTAACAAATTTGAAGTGTGGCCTTGCTGCCCAACTGTGAAAGTTTTGGAATGCCCCTGCATTGACACTAGTCAGCAGACTGTCACTTCCCTTCTTATGTGGGTGTGATGTAACAAGCTTCTTGACCACCTGATGAAATAAAGAACAACTGTATTCATCTGTTGTTTATGGAAATAGGCTTTTATGTAGTTTTACCATGTCATCCACATTGTTGCTCCTCTGCTTAGAATCAGCAGAAAATATATGTCGTATATCTAGGTATCTTATCTGAAAATGAGCTGCAAAATCAATTTAGATCATCATGTAGTAGTAAAGACATTGTAGCCATAAGAAGTATAATTGTATATCAAATTTGTAAAATTATCAAACTAATAATAGTAGAAAAGGCTTTTAATTTAATATTGAAATACTAGCTTTTATGATAACCATTATAAATAGTATTAAAAAACATATTGGAAGGCATGTGATTTTTCTTTTTTTTTGTTTTTGATTTTTCTATCCTTGTTTGTAGATTGAATGTTGAAAAGATCCATGTCATTACAGACCTATTTTTCTAATTCAAGTTTTTTTTTTTCTTTCATGCAAAAGATATTCACCATTGTTGGAGAGGATGACTGAAAGGTATTCTTCATGGAAAGAACTCACATAAAGCAGTAAGCTTGGAGTTTGTGTAGTTCGGAAGCTCAGTGTGATCATTTCTCTGGTCAATGTTGTATTCCTGTGTAATGAAGAAGCAAAAGAGCTCTTGTTTTCACTTAAAGGGTAATGTTCTTGAAAAGTATAAGTCATTGAGGAGCCTGTTCCAAAATATGCAGAAATTTCTGGAATGACAAACACATTTTTGTGATATTAACAAATTTAAATACAAATTTTTTGATATATATTTAAAGAGTAAATCCAATACTTTAATACATTGAAAGGTAAAACAAAAATGTTTTCCTGTTTGTATATTTTCACTTTTCAAATTTTAAGATTCTTTTTTCAAAAGATGTATTTAGGTGCTAGCATTGTGGTGCTGCAGGTTAAGCCTGTCTCTTTCCTATCTCTCTGTACCTCTGACTTTTAAATAAATCTTTTAAAAAATTAATTATTTGAAAGACAGATTGACAAAATGGTGCCCTCCCCCCAGATATCTTCCAACTGCTGGTTCACACCCTAACTGCCAGGATGAAGCTAGGAGCCAGGAACTCCATCCAGGGCTCTCACAAGAGTGACAGGAACCCAAGTATTTAGGCCATCATCTGCTGCCTCCCATATGCATTAACTGGAAGCTGGACTGGAACCGCTGGTGAGACTCAATCCCAGGCACCCTGACATGATGCAGCATGGCACTACAACACCCACCCAAGTTTTAAGTTTCTTAAAAAATATAAATGTAAATAAATATAAATATATAAATAAATATATGAATTATATAAATATAGATATAAAATAAGTTTCTTAAAAATAAAGCTTGAATCGAAAAGTAACAAATCTTAACATATTCACAACCCAGACATGAATAACATCTAGTGGAGATTTTATTTAATTCTCCAAATTATCTTTAATCTGTGCTACAAATGTATATCTTAAAACTACTCTCAGCTTTGGGTGCCAATTTTTCTTCCAAAAGATTATTTTTCTTGGGGCTGGCGCTGTGGTGTAGTGAGTAAAGCTGCCACCTGCATTCCTGGCATCCCATATGGGCGCTGGTTCAAGCCCCAGCTGCTCTACTTCTGATCCAGCTCCGAGCTAGTGTGTCTGGGAAAGCAGCAGAAGATGGTCCAGGTCCTTAGGACCCTGCAACCATGTGGGAGACTCAGAAGAAGCTCCTAGCTTCAGATCAGCCCAGCTTTGGCCTTGCACCTATTTGGGGAGTGAAACAGTAGATGGAATATCTCTCTTGCTTGCTCTCTCTCTTTGTCTCTCTGTAATTCTGCTTTTCAAATAAATAAATTTTAATAATCCTTTAAAAAAGAGATTTTTCTTTTCACTTAGTTGAAAGTTGATGATATGGTGTTAGGGAGGGACAGAGAGAGAGAGAGAGAGAGAGAGAGAGAAACAGGGCCAGCACCTTGGCGTAGCGAATAAAGCTGCAGCCTGCCATGCCAGCATCACATATGGGCGCCGGTTCAAGTCCCATAGCTCTCTGCTATGGCCTAGGAAAGCAGTGGAAGATGGCCCAAATCCTTGGGCTCCTGCACCCACGTGGGAGACCTGGAGGAAGCTCCTGGTTCCTTGTTTCAGATCGGCGCAGCTCTGGCCATTGCAGCCAACTGGGGAGTGAACCAGTGGATGGAAGACTTCTCTCTCTCTGCCTCTCTTTCTCTCTCCGTGTAACTCTTTCAAATAAATAAATAAATAAATCTTATAAGAGAGAGAGAGAGAGAAAGAGAGAGAGAGAATCTTCCCTCTGCTGGTTGACTGCTCAAATGCCCACAACAGGGACTGGGCCAGGCCTAAGCCAGGAACTCCATCTCCATCCTACCATATAGGTGGTAGGAAGCCAAGTACTTAGGCCAACAGCTACTGATCTCCAGGTGCAGCAGCAGGAAGCTGGACCCAAAGTGCAGAGTAGCTGGGACTCGAGTTAAGCACTTTGATATGAGATGTGGGTGTCTCAACTGTGCCACAAAGCTCAGCCAGAAAATTTACTTCTATAGAACGCTATTTCTTCTGCCTATTTGAGCTATTCTTATACATACCAAGCTCAACAGCACATTGTTACAATGATTTCATATCATTTGATGTCTGTTAAAGAAGCTTAGAAAAGAAAAAAGAGAACATATGTATATATAGACTGTGATATTTACTCTATTTACCATTCTTTTTGTTTGTCCCTGGGAGTGATATTATCATCTGGTGTCATTTTTTCATTCTAGTACAGCTTGGTTCCCATTTGCCTTCTCTGTGCTGTTGTCAGATATATTAAATATTGGTAGGATAACATATACGTGTATGTGTGTGGGTATATATATGCATGTGTGTATGGGTATATGTTTCTATATACATGTAGGATATGTATATATCCTTTATTATAATTTTAATCAGTTATTTTTTACATTTGTTAACAGCAGAAAGGATAAGAAATATGCTCTTACTCTACCTTTTATAATTGCCTACAAACTGATTTTTATAAAGAATTTTTTTTTGTGTGTAGACTTTAATAACTGTCAGTTTACATTCTTTCAGCCTGAAGAACAACCTTTGTTATTTCCTCTCATGAGGGTCTGTTAGCTGTGAATTCCAACAGTTTTAAAAGACATTTTTTTAAAAAATTTTTTCCCCAAATGCTTGCAAAAGCCAGGGCTGGGCCAAAGCAAGGCTAGGAGCCTGGAACTCAATGGAGGTCTCCCACATGGGTGGCAGGGACCCAAGTACTTGAGCCATAATCTCCTGTGTTCCAGGGTGCACACTAGCAGGAAGTTGGATTGGAAGTATAAGGGCCAGGATGCAAACCATGCACTCTGGAATGGGATATGGGTGTCTCAAGCAGCATCTTAACTGCTGTGTCAAATGCCCACACATCTCTCAGTTTAAAAAAAATTAAATTTGGCCGGCGCCGTGGCTCACTAGGCTAATCCTCCACCTAGCGGCGCTGGCACACCGGGTTCTAGTCCCGGTCGGGGCACCGGATTCTGTCCCAGTTGCCCCTCTTCCAGGCCAGCTCTCTGCTGTGGCCCGGGAGTGCAGTGGAGGATGGCCCAAGTCCTTGGGCCCTACACCCCATGGGAGACCAGGATAAGTACCTGGCTCCTGCCATCGGATCAGCGAGGTGTGCTGGCCGCAGCGCGCCAACCGCGGCGGCCAATGGAGGGTGAACCAACGGCAAAAGGAAGACCTTTCTCTCTGTCTCTCTCACTGTCCACTCTGCCTGTCAAAAAAAAAAAATAAATAAAATAAATAAATAAAAAAATTAAATTTTATTGAAAGAGAAACAGAGACAGAGAGACTGGCAGAGCTTCTCTGTTGGTTTACTTCCACAATGGTGGGGGCTGACCTAGACTGAAACCAGAATCCAGGAACCCAACTAATTGAGCCATTACTATTGCCTCCAGGGGTCTGCATTAGTGAGAAGCTAGAGTTTGGAGCTGGAGCCAGGATTCAAACCCAGGCACTCTGATACTGAGTATCTTAACTGATAGGCTCAATTCCAGCTCCTTAAAGGCCAAAAATATACAAACAAACAAATATGGAATACCTTTAGTTCACTGTCATTTTTGAAAGATAGTTTTGCTGGGCATAGTTTCTTGGATAACATTTGTTTTATTTGAATATATTTTCTCACTGCTTTGTTACTTAAAACATTTTTGATAAGAAGTCAGCTGTTAATCTTGATATGAGTCATTTTTCTCTTACTGCTTTTAAGATTTCTTTTTTGTCCTCTTTTTTTTTTTGACAGGCAGAGTGGACAGTGAGAGAGACAGAGAGAAAGGTCTTCCTTTTCCATTGGTTCACCCCACAATGGCTGCTGCGGCCGGCGTGCTGTGGCCAGTGCACTGCGCTGATCCGAAGCCAGGAGCCAGGTGTTTATCCTGGACTCCCATGCGGGTGCAGGGCCCAAGGACCTGGGCCATCCTCCACTGCACTCCCAGGCCACAGCAGAGAGCTGAACAGGAAGAGGAGCAACCGGGACAGAATCCAGTGCCCTGACCAGGACTAGAACCCGGTGTGCTGGCGCCGCAGGTGGAAGATTAGCCTACTGAGCTGTGGCGTCAGCCTGTCCTCTTTTTTTTTTTTTTCAAAGATTTATTTTATTAATTTGAAAGGCAGAGTTATATAGAGAGGGAAAGACACAGATGGAGAGATCTTCCATCCACTGGTTTGCTCCCCAAATGGCTGAAACAGCAGGAGTTGGGGAGGCTGAAGCCAGGAGCCAGGAGCTTCATCCAGGTCTCCCACATAGGTTCTGGGGTCCAAGTAGTTGGGCCACCCTCCACTGCTTTCCCAGGGTGTTAGTAGGGAGTTAGATGGGAAGTGGAGCAGCCAGGATTTGAATTGGTGCCAATATGGCACAACCATATGGTGGTGGCACAACCTGTTATTCCACAATGCCAGCCTCTGTCTTCATTTTCAACATCAAGATGTGTCTGGGTAGGTGTTTCTTTTTGTCATATTTGGATTTCACTGAACTTTCCATACGTGTAGATGATAATTTTCATTAATTTGGGGGATGCTTCAACTAATATTCCAACCATTATATTTAAAACACTTTTTCTTTATCCTTTTATGTCTTCTCTCCTTCATATATTCTCATTACATAGTGATGTATTAATCATGCCTGACATTGCTCTGTTGCTCTGTCAACTTTTCTTTAGTCTCATTACTCTTCAGGATAGATAATTTTTATTTATTTATTTATTTTAACTTTTATTTAATGAATATAAATTTCTAAAGTACAGCTTATGGATTACAATGGCTCCCCACCCCATAACTTCCCTCCCACCCACAACCCTCCCCTTTCCTGCTCCCTCTCCCCTTCCATTCACATCAAGATTCATTTTCAATTCTCTTTATATACAGAAGATCAGTTTAGTATATATTAAGTAAAGATTTCAACAGTTTGCACCCACATAGAAACACAAAGTGAAAAATACTGTTTGAGTACTAGTTATAGCATTAAATCACAATGTACAGCATATTAAGGACAGAGATCTTACATGAGGAATTAGTGCACAGTGACTCCTGTTGTTGACTTAACAAATGGACACTCTTGTTTATGGCATAAGTAATCTCCCTAGGCTCTAGTCATGAGTTGCCAAGGCTATGGAAGCCTTTTGAGTTTATCGACTTCGATCTTATTCCGACAGGGTCATAGTCAAAGTGGAAGTTCTCTCCTCGC